ATGCTGCTTCTATAATGATCAGAAGTTATAATTTTATAATAAGGATCAAGACCACGATTTTATTAGGATCAGGCTTTATTAGGATGGGATTCTGGCATTATTAGGATGATTCTGGCATTATTAGGACCAGGAGTTATTGGGATCAGGACAATGAACTGGGGCAGAGAGAAGGAACAGAGCAGCCCATCCAATGCCCAGGAATGGGAGCCCACCAGCCCCAAGTGAGGACCATCAGCCCAAGTGAGGACCACCAGCCCCAAGGGAGGACCACCAGCCCCCACATTTCCCACCCTGGCTCCAGCCCCTTTCCCCCCTGCTACCAGTGGAGCTGCTCCTGCTCCTGCAGCCTGCCAGGACCTGGGGCACCCATCCAGGACCTCCTCAGCTCCAGGGTGTCCCCTCCCAAACCCTCCCTGACCCCCAGAAGCCCCCAAGGCTGGAGCAGAGGGAGGAGGTGACGCAAAGTTGGCAGGACCAGCTCCTTGTGCAATAATTCCAATTTCCGGAGGTTTGTGGCACAGTGGGGACCTCAGGAGGGGAAATCAGAGTAAAACCCCCCAGGAGATGCTGGGAGGGGGGGATCCCATCCCTGGGAGGAGGAGCTGCCACCCTGCAGCCCCCTGGGTTGTGTGACAGTGGCCACAGGGGACAATCCAGTGCCAGTCTCACTGCACAGGGACCTCATGGGGGTCGCTGGTTCTGGTTCTGTGGGGAAAAGGTGCTGGGAACAGCCAGGGCTGCTCCTTCTGCGCCGGTTCTGGGCATGGAAGAGCTGAGGATGGATCCAGGAATGCTCCTGGCAGCTCCTGGTGCCCCCACCCTCACGGCTGTGCCGGTGCCAGGCCTTGGCATCACCCAGCTGGCATTCCAGGGTGCCAAGGAAGCCCTGCAGGGCGGGCAGGGTGAGGTAGGAGTGCTGGAATTCGTGTGCCTGTGCCAGGTGACATCTCCCCAGGGTTCCTGGGATAGGGACATTCCCATCCTGATCCTCAGGCCCCCCAGGACTCCTGGGATGAGGACATTTGTGCCAGGTGACATCTCCTCAGGGCTCTTGGGATGGGGACATTCCCATCCTGAATCTCAGGCCTGACATCTCGTCAGGGCTCCTGAGATGGGGACGTTTGGTCCAGGTGACATTCCCCAAGGATCCTGGGATGAGGACAGTCCCATCCTGATGCCCAAGCCCACCATCTCCCCATGGCTCCTGGGATGGGGACATTNAGGGTCGCAGGGTGAAGAGAGAGATGAGAATGTTAGTTCCATGTTCAGAAGGCTTGGTTTATTAGTTTATGATAGATATACTACATTATTACTATACTAAAAAGAAGTAGGAAAGTTCTCAGAAGCTGGCTAAGCTAAGAATAGAAGAGGAATTAATTAAAAAGGGCTGTGTCCCGGCAGAAAGCGAGGGACGTGGGATGCTGCATTCCCAGTGCCCAGGATGAGGGGTTGGACCATGGGATGCTGCATTCCCAGTGCCCAGGATGAAGGGTTGGACCATGGGATGCTGCATTCCCAGTGCCTGGCATGGGGATTTGGACCATGGGATACTGCATTCCCAGTGCCCAGGATGAGGAGCTGAACCATGGGATGCTGCATTCCCAGTGCCCAGGATGAGGGGTTGGACCATGGGATGCTGCATTCCCAGTGCCCAGCATGGGAGTTTGGACCATGGGATGCTGCTTTCCCAGTGCCCAGGATGAGGGGTTGGACCATGGGATGCTGCATTCCCAGTGCCCAGGATGAAGGGTTGGATGTGGGATGCTGCATTCCCAGTGCCCAGGATGGGAATTTGGACCATGGGATGCTGCATTCGCAGTGCCCAGGATGAGGGGTTGGATGTGGGATGCTGCATTCCCAGTGCCCAGCATGGGGTTTTGGACCATGGGATGCTGCATTCCCAGTGCCCAGGATGAGGGGTTGGACCAGTGTGGTCCAGAATGGTCAGTAAACCTAAACATCCACAGAAGACCAATCACAGATCCACCTGTTGCATTCCACAGCAGCAGATAACCATTGTTTACCTTTTGTTGCTGCTCAGAAGGGAGAAAAATCCTAAAGAAAGAATTTTTGCCAAAATATATCTGTGACAACCCCCCATGCCAGGGGAAGGGGCTGCTGCAGGCTCTGAGCCCCCTCGGTGCCCTCCAGGTGCTGCGGGCCGGTTTGTGGGAAGACGACGAGAACGCGGCCACTTTCTACCTGGACAGCGGCGACGGCAACGCGGCCACGGTCATCTATGACTACAGGAATGTGAGTGGGGGGCTCTGGGCACGCGGGGAGGGGGAGATGGGATGAGGCTCACCCCGGTTTGGCTCCCAACAGCTGCTGGTGAGCTACAGAGCCCGGCTGCACCACGCCTGCTACGTGACCAGAGTGGACCAGGACAACATCCCGGGGCTGGACAGCGTGGTGGAGACCTTCCAGCGCCGGCAGGTGAGCACCTGGCTGGGTCTGGGGGAGCTGGGGGGCTCAGCGCCTTGTGCAGCCCCTCCCTGAGCGGAGGAGTGATGAAGATGATGATGAAGATGATGATGATGATGAAGGATGCTCCTTGCTCCCCATGCCCAGGCTGAAGACAAGATCGCCATGCCCTTGGCTGACCGCTCCATGCTGGGCACCACGGCGGGCATCCTGTGCAGCCTCCTGCCCGTCTACTGGGCTTAGCAGGGTGAGTGGGGGGCTGCGGGNGTGGATTACAGGAAATATTTCACGTCCTGTTTGCTCCTTGCCACATCAAGCAGCTGCAGGTGCCGGAGCTGGCACAGGGACACGAGCCAGCTGCCACCCTGGGCACGGGCACAGCCGGATGCTCCACCCTGGAGGGTTTGTTTTGGCCCTGGCACCTCGCTGCTGGGCAGCAGAGAGGTCTCCGTGCCTGGGGACAAGGGTCCTTGACCCAGTGCCCTCGGAGCCTCTTGAGCTGCAGGTTCCCAGGGGATCCAGCTGGGAGTGGGCGCTCAGCAAACACCACTGGAGTGGGTCACATGCCAGGGCCTGGCTGCACCCCAGGGCCACCAAACCCTTCACAGGGTCCCCACCCCAGTGCCCCAGTATAAAGATCCCAGTCCCTGCAGTCAGACTGGGCTAGGAATGGGAGGAAGAGGAGGAGGAGGAGGAGGAGGAGGAGGAAGAGGCAGCAGCAGCCATGGAGAGCAGCATGAAGCAGGTGGTGCTTGAAGAGGAGGTGAGTCCCTGCAGGGTGGCACTGCCACCCCGGGGTGTCCCTGCAGCCAGCTGGGCACAGGGCTTTGCCCAGTTTATCCCAGCAAGGCACCAGTGCCTGGGATGAGGGGTTGGACCATGGGATGCTCCATTCCCAGTGCCCAGGATGAGGAGATGAACTATGGGATGCTGCATTCCCAGTGCCCAGGATGGGGATTTGGACCATGGGATGCTGCATTCCCAGTGCCCAGGATGGGGAGCTGAACCATGGGATGCTGCATTCCCAGTGCCTGGCATGGGGATTTGGACCATGGGATGCTGCATTCCCAGTGCCCAGGATGAGGAGCTGAACCATGGGATGCTGCATTCCCAGTGCCCAGGGTGGGAGTTTGGACCATGGGATGCTGCATTCCCAGTGCCTGGCATGGGGATTTGGACCATGGGATGCTGCATTCCCGGTGCCCAAGGGGGCAGCAGGATGCTGGGGGGCAGCAGGATCAGAGCTGCAGTCCCACCCCCAACCTCCTGCATCCCACCTCCACCCCCTGACCCCAAATCCCCCCATTTTNCTGGGGGGCTGACCCAGCTCCTGGGGTGCTCGTCCTGATCCCAAGGTGCTCACACACCGTCCTCTGGGTGGCCATCCCATTTTTGGGTGCCTGGCTACCCTTCCTGGAGTGCTGGCCCAGCTTTTGGGGTGCTCATCCACATCTCAGGGTGCTCACACACCATCCTCTGTGTGACCATCCCATTTTTGGGGTGCCTGGCCGCCCTTCCTGAAGTGCTGGCCCAGCTTTTGGGGTGTTCAACCCCTTGCCCAACCTTCCTGGGGTGCTCATCCTGATCCCAAAGATGTTCACCCACCCTCCCCAAGGTGGTCATCCCATTTTTGGGGTGCTTGGCCACCCTTCCTGGAGTGCCGGCCCAGCTTTTGGGGTGCTCATCCACTCGCCCAGCCATTCCTGGGGTGCTCATCCTGTTCTTGGGATGCTCCCCCAGCCTCCCCAAGGTGGTCATCCCACTTTTGGGGTGCTTGGCCATCTTTCCTGGGATGCTTGCCCAGTTTTTGGGGGGCTCATCCTGCTCCTGGGGTGCTCATCCTGATCCCAATGTTCACCCACCCTCCCCATGGTGGTCATCCCACTTTTGGGGTGCTTGGCCATCTTTCCTGGGGTCTTGCCCAGTTTTTGGGATGCTCATCCTGTTCCTGGCGTGCTCATCCCACTCCCGGGCTCCTTGCCCACCATTCTTGGGGTGTCTTTTCAGCTCTTGGGGTGCTCATCCGCATCTCAGGGTGCTCACACACCATCCTCTGGGTGGTCATCCCATTTTTGGGGTGCCTGGCCACCCTTCCTGGAGTGCTGGCCCAGCTTTGGGGGTGCTCATCCACTTGCCCAACCTTTCCTGGGGTGCTCATCCTGTTCTTGGGGTGCTCCTCCAGCCTCCCCAAAGTGGTCATCCCACTTTTGGGGTGCTTGGCCATCTTTCCTGGGGTCTTGCCCAGTTTTTGGGACGCTCATCCTGTTCCTGGGGTGCTCATCCCACTCCCGGGCTCCTTGCCCACCATTCTTGGGGTGCTCATCCTCATCTCAGGGTGCTCACACACCATCCTCTGGGTGGTCATCCCATTTTTGGGGTGCCTGGCCACCCTTCCTGGGGTGCTTGCCCAGTTTTTGAGGGGCTCAACCTGCTCCTGGGGTGCTCATCCGCCTCCCAGGCTCCTTGCCCACCATTCTTGGGGTGCTTTTCCAGCTCTTGGGGTGCTCATCCTCATCTCAGGGTGCTCACACACCATCCTCTGGGTGGCCATCCCATTTTTGGGGTGCCTGGCCACCCTTCCTGGGATGCTTGCCCAGTTTTTGGGATGCTCATCCTGTTCCTGGGGTGCTCACCCCACTCCCGGGCTCCTTGCCCACCATTCTTGGGGTGCTTTTCCAGCTCCTGGGGTGCTCATTCCAGTCCTTGGGGTGCTGTCCAGGATTTGGGGTGCAGGATGAGGGGTGAAGAAGCATGTAGGATTTTTGAGTCCAGGACCAGGGGATGTGGGACTGGAAAATGTGGGGAATGTGGGGTGGGAGTTTGGGGTGCCAGACCCCAACAGGGGGTGTGGGACTGGGGGATTTTGGGGTTCTGGGGGACACTGAAGGGGACAGGTGGGTGCTGGGAGTGTGGGATTTGTGTCCTGGGAATCTTGGGGGGCCGGGATTGATCCGGGGGTCCTGGATCCGTACCGGGGAACCGAGGGGTGGCACCACCGGGGCTGGGGACACCGGATGGGACCGGAGTGGGGCAGGAGGAATATTGGGGGGCACGGAGAGGTGGGGGAGGGATCGGTGATGGGAGGTGGGTTTGGGACCAGGGGAGACCGGGA